GCTTATCAGAGATTCCTCTGGTTGTGGAAAGAGTGAACAATTTCTGTGGCCTCTTGCCCAACACCCTTGATTTTTGCCCTGCAAGTCCACAGGAATGTCTAATCATGCCCTAGAACAGGGAAGGCAACTTGTATCATTCCAAATGTTGCACCCACCATCCTTAAAAAAGTTGGTCATTAGTAAGAAATAAAGCAGCAGTTTCTGGAAAGAGTCAGGTTGCCCTCTCCTGACCTAGGGTAAGATTTCTGTTCATGGAAAATGAAGAGACACCATTGTTCTTATGATGATTTTTGGAATTTTTTTTTAAAAATCATTCAGATAAGTTAATAGCCACATTTATAATTCACATTTCTTGAATACATGGTAAGATTTTGCCTCAGAATGAGATGGAACGAATAATAGTGAAGGCCAAAGGGCAGTTGGGGCAATTTGAGGCAATATACAGGAAATCAGCATATGCTGGAGCAGAAAATTTGACAATCCAAAGACCCAGGGCTGCATGAAGTTTCTGAAAGACTTGGTGGAAGCCCCAAGATCTCCAAAAACATTTACAAAATTAGTAATTTTTAATGTAACCCATGGGAAATGGGTTTAACCCATGAATAGAGCGTGCTCTTTTTCTGTTAATTTGATTTACATTTTAATAAAAATCACTTTTAGTTTTTATCCTGGGCCTTCCACTAATTTTATAAAAGGCAGCCCCCCCTCCCCTGCATGAAGTAAACTTATGTTGTATGAGTTTCCAGCTGTGGAATGACTGGAACTGCAAATTAGTTGAGTTGGAACTACAGAACTTTCAAACTGTTATTGCAAAAATTCTCTGCTAAAATTGTGTAGCCTTGCTTTATCCCACTGTGCTCCACCAGATGTTTTGTCTACCGCTGATTACACCCACCAGTGAACAAAATAGGTCTTAACTCTTTTTAATTAAGGCCAATATATCCATCTATTTTCATTTCCATAGTATTTCCATTTCTCTAATAAGAACGTAATTATTAGTTACATGAAAATATATACTAATCAAGGTTCCTCTCTCTTTTTCTTCCTGTAGTTCAGTAACACCAATAAAACAAAGTTGCTGAGAAAACGTATTTGGTTATATCTGCAGAAGCTTTTCTTTGTTTTTTAATCTTGAATCAACAACTACAAGGGATGCTAATCAGACATTTGAATGATTCCAATAAATTTAAGATATACTATAGCTATGCATATTTATATATAATACATTTTAATTTACATTCTTCTTTTATGACTATTTGAAATTAACTCCTTGTACTGGCCTTGACTGTAGGCTTTATTCTGGAGTTCTAAGAAATGGAATTCACTCACACCCACACATCTGTGAAAGAATGTGTGAAGGTACTAGAGTCATGCCAACTGCTCCACTGACAATTTGAGCACCCCTTCCCCAAATCCACCTCTGGAAGAGGACAGTTGAGAAGGAACACTGTGCAAATTCTAACACTGGCATCTAATGCTTCATAATGTCAGGAAGACTGACCACCAGGAGACACCATGTGATTGGTTCAGCCTTTATTGAGACTCCTCAGATGCAGGTATTCCAGGGTTCAAATTCTCTACTGGGAATTAAACTCATAGACTTTTGCACTTTAGATGACTATAGGGTGCATAAGCTTTAATGTCAGGAAAGAAACAATGTTGTCAGGTAGGGAACCTAGACAATCTTGTAGTGTAGAGTAATGTTCCCCAAACTAGCGTCCTTCAGATGTGAACTCCCATCTCCCCTTGTTATGTATCCTCTAAAGGTAACATAGAGGGCATTCAGATTTTATTCTTCAAAGAGAAGGATCAATATGAATTCAATGAAGCTGACTGAGATTTACTCTCAACTGTGTGCATACATTCACAAGAGTAGTTCTGCCAGATTGGACCAAAGGTCCAAGTTGTCTAATGCCTCTTTCCAAACAAACTAGTCAGATATTCTTTGAGAATTTGAAGCTATGTTTCAAAGACCCTTTCCCCCTTGATCTTAGTATAAGATTTGGTCTAAAATATATTTGTCCCTTAAAATAAAATATATTATTTAATTCAAATAAGGACTTTTTAAAAGAAAAATGACAAACTAAGAAAAAAGAAATCTTCTCCCTGAATTAGGCACTGCAAAGTTCTTACATTATCCATTTCAAGCGAGGACCAGTGTCAAAATTAACGTCCTTCACTCATTGATTCTGTTTAAGTAAGATACATTGGGCCAAGGGAGACTGAATGATGTATTTTAGCCACCCAGATAATTACAAATATTTATTGGGATGAGTATTTCCCATATTCATATTTTCTCTCAGTCCTGAGACAAATGGTAGCTATTCTGGGAGCATATTGAAGCTGACTGCAAAGAATCATCACCATCATCCACGCTGGGTGGGAATCATAATTTGGAAATCCCCAGATTAGGGAAAGCTGCAATAAGCTGAATGAAGAATTGCATGAGGAGAAAGAGAAGAAAAAATCAAGAGGTGAAGTGACTTGGAAATGTTCTGATCATAATAAACTGGAGAGCAGGAAATTATAACAGGGAAAGGAGTGTTGATCTGGATATTAGATGGTAGCAGGTGGAGGAGGATTTGATATTGATGATTTCACTCAGCAAGTCATAGCACCTAACTGACCGCAAGATAAGCTGAACAGGTCAGACCTAGTTAGCATTTGGATGGAAGACCATCAGGATATTCCAGATCCATAGAGAAGTCTAGGGAGGAAAAAAAAAACTGGAAGAAGGCAATAGCAAAAAGCATCCAGAAATTCACCAGGAGTCAAACTTGACTCGAGGGAGTTTTTACTTTTGTAACCATGATTTGTAAAGACCACTGAAAAGCTTGTAGATCAAATAAGCTGGAAGAAAACTGGATATCCCACAAATATTTCAGGCTTTTTTTTTTTTTTTACCATCAGATTGTAAGGTCCTCTATATCAGTGTTTCTCAACCTCAGGATGGCTGGCTGGGGAATTCTGGAAGTTGAAGTTCAAACATCTTAAAGTTGCTGAGGTTGAGAAACACTGTTTTATATCATTCTGGGGTTTTCTCCAGTCATACCAACTGGTCTTGTGTTGGGGGGAGCTATTATTTGTATAAAAGGTAAAGGGGCTGCAGGTTATCCGTCCCTAATTAACATCATCCACTATATCACCTCTTAGCATTTGCATATTCCCGTAGGGGGCAAGTGAGTGGGAAAGCTATTGTAATGCACTATAGGTAGTTTTAGAATAGATTTTTCATTAAGTATTCTTTTACTCAGAAAATGAAAGATTAGCTTCACATTATTAATGCTCCCTGAACTATTCTGCTTATGTTTTTGAATAGATACACTTTTTTATGTTCTGCTTAGAATAAGCTGGGACAGTATTAATCTCTGTGTTTACAGCTGTCTTAAATAGAAATGTATGCTACTTTTATATGTTACCAAAAATCCATACTTGGGGTCTAAATACTGATTTTTAAGAAAAAAATAGTGGAGTAGTTGTGGACTTAACCATGTTGAGAGGAGATCCAGTGAAATCAATGGGAGATATCAGTCATGATTTCAATGAATCTCTGTAAGCATGGTAAATACAAATCCAACCTAATACCATTGTCCTGGCAGTCTTACTAATAGAAGACAATATCTGTAGCTCAGGGTTGAACTGCGGAGTCCTTAGTGCTCTCTGAACTTGGTTGTTTGCTTGCAGATGTTTCATTACCCAACTAGGTAACATCATCAGTGTAGGTGAGTGTGGGGTTTGTTCCCTGTTTATATACAGTAGCTTGCCCTGCCAGGGTCAGTGGGGGTGTGGTTTTTTCCTTGGTAGTTCCTTGATTAGGCTGTTGTTTACTGTTCGATTATCTGTCTGAGTTGGTAGTTCCTTGATTGGGGTATTGTTTTCTGCTTGATTGTTTGTCTGGTGTTAATCCCT